AACGCCATTTGTGAAACCGGAGAAGAATTGCTCCTCGGAACATGCGACAGTAGAGGAGTCGGCGAAGTCGGAGTTCTCGTTAAACACAAGTTCGGCCATGAACATCAATGTATTCGAACAACTAAAAAACCGAATAGAACGTCTGCAATTGAAGATATGTGGGTCAATACCGGCTTGGACAATCTTCGTTGAATACGCGCCGACGTCAAACTATGACGAAGATACCCAAGCGTTCTATATGGACTTGAATAAGTTCTACAGAAAAGACCATACACTCTTCAATGTCATCGCTAGAGATTTTAACGTCAAGATCGGACCTAGGAGAACGTCTGAAGAACGTCACATTGGGACCCACGGATTAGAACACGAACAGGGTGAGCCGCTATCTGAGTTTATCATGGCAACCGAGACAATCCATGGTAACTCGAAATTCCAGAAGCCCCACCCTCAATGCTGGGCGTGGGATGTTCAACAGTGGAGAGTAGCATAACGAAATAGACCACATCATAGTAAATCATAGGTTTTGCCTAACCGATGGCGCTGTTGTCCCTAAAGTGTACACGGGATCAGAGCATCGCTTTCTTCATCAAAGATTTCATTTCTCGAGGTAAGGAGAAAAAGCTCCTAAATTCAAAAAACGAAGTATCAAAGCCATCACAAACTGGGATGTATTCAGTTCTTTAGTGTGCTGTTGGAAAGATGCCTCTTTCAACACTTTCACTTTAAAAAAAACCTCTCCGTGTTGTTCAATCTCTGAGAGACCCACCATGAATTTGACTTCATTAAGCATTGTCGAAGGTCATTGAATGTAAATATGGCCTTTAAAATGACTCGCGGTGGCCTATCGATGTATTGAGCCAGTCCTGCTGTTTCCCAGACATGTCTAGTACCAATTTGCCTACCCTGGAGGGACAGATTCCTTTGTGTGTACCAGGTCGCCTCCGACCACTGCTCCACACACGTCCACTTTCACGTTAGCGCTATAAAAGCTGGGAATTCGAAAGACATTGAGAGATGTTTGTGTCCAAAAACATCGAAGTGATACTAGGAATAGCACGCAGGTAACCGCTAAATCACGTGCGAACTTGCAAAACAGTGCAAACAGGTGATAGAAAAGGATCTCAAGGAGAGAAGAGCAGCAGTTATGGTCGAAGCCATAGAGCATTGAAGAAGTATATTCTAGAAGGCCCTATGAAGTGCTTTATACTAAACCCTCTTACCAGGAGACATGAGGTCTTTTCTATATTGTTCTTTCCTCGGTTTTGTCTTCTTTCTCCGTTTTCTGTTCCGTTTTCTCCTGCTTTCCTACTATTCAGCGTCCTTTGTCTTCTAAAAATATTCGTTTTTGCTTAGGTTATGATGATGTTCTCTTTATATCCTTTTTTTCTATTCTGTATCATTTCGCAATAAGTTATTCCGATAGAAGGTGAACTGAACTGGAAAGTGAACTCCTCAGAGAGATAGCGATAAGATTTCAAAAATTCGTCTAGCCGAAACCTTCTACGTAGTGTAGATAACACTCAAACAAGTCATATTTTCAACATATTTTCTTCATCTCGTGTTGTCCAATATTCCAGTTATCTGTCCGTATGCTTCATTTCTCCACACAACCCTCTGGTTTACCGCCTCAACGTGAGGTGTTCCTGGTTGTCGTGCTGCAATGTAGAGCGGTGGGATTCTTCTCCTCAGTAGGGTCTCCCAAGATGAGGAGGAGTCCGCTGTTTCCATCAGGAAGCTCAGTTAAGAGTAAACCAATACCAGGATCGTCAGGATACCAAAACTATGCAAAAATGGAAATTAAGGTGGGGCCTGAACATCCAGTGAACAAGTGCCATCCAACTATTCGAATTTCTTATAGAGAACTTCTCTCTTGAAAAGTTCTCTATCGATCTAAATCATGGTATTTGAAGTCCAAATATGGCCGCCTCGCAGTCGCAAATCAAACACCGCAATGTACCCTTTGTAATCTTCTCGATCAATTATGTTCAGTGCTTCAGGCACAATAGCGATTCAGGTTTGACTTCAGTAGCATAACGACGATGGCTTATCCGAAGGAGGCGTAACGGTGCAACAGTTTACTACTTCCTTGCAGAACAACGAAGCTAATGACGTTTGGTGTTTCAAGCAGTTAGCTACAGTCTATTGCGGTCCAGGATCAACAATCCAGATTAACCGCGGTTGCATACGCACGCGGCTCCCGCAGCCGATATAAGCCAGGTGCCTTCGACGGCGGAGACTCACCTTACCCCTGATGGGTAGCGTGGATAATCCGCTTCTCACAACATCATCCTCAATCATCCTCAATCACCTCAACTCATTCTTAGTCATACTCATTTATTCTTATTCAATCACATTCATTCACACATTCACATTCATCATTCAGTAATCAGCTGATTATTGTATCTCGTCTCTCAGCTTGTCTACGGTGCGATGTCAGTAGTGGCGAGTGTTTCCAAATGCGTTCTGTTTGCAACGCCATCAGTGGCATGTACCATTCCTCCCACAATGTACGCAATGAGTACAATTCCGCTAAGCGGCCAGCGTATGCTATGTATTCTGCTAAGCCGCTATAGGCTTATCAGTTTTGTAGCCATTCACCATACTGGCCCTTACCCTTAGGAAATGGTGGCACCCATCGATGCTCAAAGTTCACGTTGCCGACATAGCGTTATTCACGACCAGCCGCCTGACTGTGTTCCGTAGATGACTTATCATTCACTGTTCATAACACCATCAACGCTCATGTAACTTACAGACCTCATCAATGCACTAAAATGCTCCTCAACTCTATAATGTTGGAATTTAGCTTGGCCGAAACACGGCCAGTCTGTAACCGTCCCGCCTCAGCATACTGTCTCCCTCAGCCGCCGCACCGGCCGCGGATAGACGCGGCGCGGCGCGGCATCGCTTACGGCCAACCAAAGACTACTTCGCTGTAATCTCATTATTACTGTTAATATTGTATTAATGGTATAATAATGTTTGAATGCCATTGCCTCATTGTTAGCCTCACTTCACTACAGGCCTTAGCACCTCAGAGCTCTAACTTGTCTCATTCCTCTACCATTACTTCTCTATCGTTACTATTATGTAGTTAATGCTATGTTGATGTATTAAAGGTTTAATTACCCAAGTTTGAGGCTGGTAGATCAATTACAGCACCTAAAAGACCCACGTGGCTAATATTCTACATCAATCTGAACCGCTACACTCCGCCGCTAGCCATTTCGTTACATATGTTCCCTATTCTTCTATAAATTCTTGCATAGTGGGACACTCTCGTTCTTTGAGTTGGGTTGGAAAGCCGGTCAACTCATAGGTGAGGCAAGGAAATATTCTGTCTTTCCATAGTATTATGAAACAAATGTACTAGTCCCGTATTATTTTGTATACTACGATCATTTCCAATTTATCAGCAAATTGTTTTCTCTGTGTCACTTGTACCGCGTAAAGACAGCGAAGTCATAACATCTTTTGTTTTCGTACGATCAGGATATACCATAGTCTCTCCCAGATCGCCTAGGTATATTTATTTAGTAGTATCCTAGTAATATCCTATAACTCTGTCAGCCACACCAGATGAACGACAATAGTTGTGTATCGGGTCTCCATAGGCAACAGTTTCTTTGTGCGAAACAAACCAGTAGGGGAATTAAGTGGAAACGCTCTCGTGTCCGACGCACAGCAGAGTAGTTTCTATTGAATAAACTACTGACTGGAACTAAAAAATTCAGCAACAATTCCCGTTGTGAAAAACAACCATAAGGAAAAACAAGTTGACGATAACTCATACCGACCATCTTCCGTCCCTCAATATGAGTCTGAACCTACCACCGTCGGACAAAACCGCTCGCCGAATGAGAAATGGGGGAGATTGGTTTTGGTTCAAGAAAGAAAACATGGAGTGCGTGCAAACTTTATTACAATTAGAGTGCAGTATGAAAATGTCTAAGCAGTTCTACAATTCTAATAAGCACCAAAAATGAGCACCATTAGGACCAGATATAGAGAACATTCTTTACGAATATTGGAATGTTCTCTATGTGAATTAATTATAACCTTATGTCAAACATTTTCGAAT